CACACCTGGGGCTGTGCTGGTACAGGCACACCTGTGCACTGTGCAGGTACAGACACACCTGGGCACTGTGCTGGTTCACACCGTTTGAGGGATGCAGCCTCCGGGTAAAGCTGTGCTTTGTGCTACCCCCTAGTGTGTTACCAGCAGACACTCACGCTCCTGCTGCTTTTCCAGTCTCCCTACCTTCCTGCTTATCTCCCGCCCCTCCTGTTCGTGCATCCCTCCACACCAGCGCCCACCAGCGCTGCTGTAGCCCCTGTGTACTGCCGTGCCTTGTCCCCATGTGTGCCGACCCAAGAGAATTCCCCCACCTTGCTTCATCTCCCTCACACGCTACCCAGGCCAGCCTCCCTCCCTGTCCCTGTCACACCCAGCTGACTCCTGGCCCTGTCTCTCCCGGTTTCCCGAAGATGGGCTGCCACGTGGAGGTGCTTTTCCTGCGCTACATCGCAGCCTGGGACCTGGACCCGGGGCGCTGCTACCGCATCACCTGGTTCACCTCCTGGAGCCCCTGCTACGACTGCGCCCAGCACATCGCCAGCTTCCTGCGCTCCTACCCCAACCTGAGCCTCCGCATCTTCATGGCCCGCCTCTACTTCTGCGAGGAGCGCAAGGCAGAGCCCGAGGGGCTGCGGCGCCTGCACAAGGCGGGGGCACAGATCGCCATCATGACCTTCAAGGGTGAGTTGTGCGGGCAGGAAAGAGATAAGGGAGGGCCAAGGGGTGCTGGGGAGAAGGCAAGGGCAAGGAGCCAGGGAAGATGATGCAGAGTGATTTAGTGATTGGTGTCCTGTCGAGCACCTGTAACTCCCCCGTGTCTTGCACAGATTACTTCTACTGCTGGAACACATTTGTGGAGAACAGGGAACAGGCATTCAAAGGCTGGGAAGGGCTGCATGAAAACTCTGTCCATCTTGCCAGGAAACTTCGACGAATCCTCCTGGTAAGGGACAATACTCCTTCTTCTTTTTCCAATGCCTCTTCCCCCAGCTTATTCCTCTCTTCCTCACTATAATTCCTCTCTGCACTTGCTGCTCATCCCTGCCATCTGCCATTTCATTCACTCCCGTGTCTTCATCTTCCACATCCCTTATGCCTCTTCCTCCAACTTTCTTCATCTCTCCTCTGCTTGTTCACTTCCCCTTCTTCCCCCTTTCATCCCATCTCCTGCCATTCCTTCCTCATATTCATGGTTCCTGCTCACTTGACAACTGACCTACCATTTCTATTTTGTCCTGCAGCCTCTGTACGAAGTAGATGATTTACGAGATGCTTTTAAAATTCTGGGACTTTGAAGTGAAAGTCATCAGCAATCAGAAGACTTCACAAACACTTGCTCTTTGATTTCCAACTCTCTCCCTTACAACAGATCTTTCTACTCTTCCCTCCTTACATCTCTCTTCCTTCCAGCCCTGTGTCTAGAGATAAGACTATCCTTACTTTCATTTCCAAGGAGAATTAGGCTGATCTTGTGAAGACACCTTCCCCAGGCCCACACCTTATCCATTGCTAACTGGGAACAGCCAGGATTGCAGTGGCATTGCCAGAGAGTGATTTGCCTCCCCTCAGTCCCTGCAGAGCTAATCCAGGTGATCCACTGAATGGAGCTCTGGGTTCAGCCTTGCCCAGGTGGGAGCAGACAGCCTGCAAAGCTGTTTGTGTGGCTGTGCTCTCACTGGCACTGCACTGACCTGCACACTTCATGAAGGCTTCAGGGAGCACATTTCTTGGCTCTTAGAGCTGCACTACACTCAGCTGCTCTGTGTCCTCCCCTGTGAAATGGTTTAGTTGTCCTCCTGGATGTTGGTCGGAAAACCATCCCAACTGAGGTGGTGCAGCCTATGTATTAACAGCAAAGTTGGCCAGCCACTGGAAAGCTCAGCAGAGAGTGTTGAAGTGAGTCCTTGACAGCCCAGGTAGCTCAGCTTGAAAACCTCACATGAAGCCAGCAGGTCTCTCTAAGAGGATTGTGTGCAGAGCACCACAGCTCTCATTATGTGGAGTGCTCTTCATCCTCTGAGCATTTCCCCCTAGACCAGACATGCAATGTGCTCCCTCCCCAGCCAGCTGCCTCTGCTGGAGGCACCTTTACAGTCCCACAGTATCTTGTTTTTCCAAGTTTTTTATTGCCCATAATATGGCCAGCAATGTGACTCTACTGAGAGCTGGCCAGAGAAAATCCTGGCATACACAAAGCTCTTTAGCCTGTAAATAGATATCTTCTGTAGGGGCCAAAACCAAACCATCCTCCTGCCTGGCAATCACTCTGTTTCCACTAGGGGACCCCATTAGCTCCTGATCTGGTGGACACAGTCTTTACAAGCTGAAGATGCAGGTTCACAGCACATGCCTGCTCACCACCACCTTCCCACCCCGAATTACAGCTGGATCGCCCTCTCCAGTCCAACCTCTTGGGCCTTGCACAAGTCTAAGCGTGTCCCACACTCGGGTGTGCTCTGTCATTTCCTTCATGGTGGCTGCAAGTTCTGTGCTCCATCCTGCTCCTCTTTCTGGGTAGGGCTGGAGGCTCCTCAGAACACCTCCCCTGGTGCTAGGGCAGCAGAGCTCTGCCCCTACAGGGCCTGCTCCTGCCGGCAGAGGTCACAACCAGCGGCCTCACGAGCTTCCCACAACTTCCCAAGGCACTCTCAGCTTGGGAAATTTTGACCAGGAATAGCAATGACAGTCCTTTGCAAAGCATTAATTTGCAAGCATGGTGTTGTATATTTGTTTCATATGGTGCATATTATTTATATAAATAAAGGTCTTACAAACAAGCATCTGGTTTTGTCTTTTTTTTGGTATCATGTGGGTGAAGGAGGTAAATAGGACACAGAGGATCAACATGTCTTCTCTTCTTTCTGATTTCTGGAGGGACAACCTAGAAATATTAAACTGTCTTCATACTTTTACTTGTAGCTTTGAAGTTATTGACAATGTCACCCAGCAGATCAAGGCAGATAAACTGTTAGGATACTTTAGAAATGCTACCAAAAACCTCTGAAGTTATCTGAGATGCTTCTTTCATTGATGGCCAGCCAATTGTGCCCATTCATGACTCATAATCGACCACACTGGACACAAAAGGGCTGACAATATGCTTCACAAAGCAAGAAGAGAAGCAAAGATGTATAAAGAATCTTCATCTTTCAACTTTTAACATTGTACCTGTACAACATCATTGTCCTTCTCAGTGAAATTGTTGGAAAAAATTACCATTTTCTTAAGAAGGGGTTGAGATACAAGCTTTTGATTAAATTTTGACTAACACTGAGTTGAAGATACTTGTTGAAACATCACAACAGCTGACATTGTACAGGAGAAAAAAATGTAATGAGTAAATGCAAAGAATCATGAGCTATATTAGGAATACATCCTATATTTAGATTTTTTTGAACATAAATCTGATTAAATTCAGAGTGGACTCTAGAGTTAATCCATGTGGTTCAGCTATAGGAATTTAGCTCTTTTGCACACAAGATTGTTTTAACTGCATTTTTTCTGTTCGCAAATACCAATTCATATTGTTTGTTACAAGCTATTCTTTAATTTGGCGTTCTAAATTAATTCAGCCTCAAATGCTTTAGGTGTCTCTGCCAAGAATAACTCCCTGGAGGGTGACTGTTATGCAGTAACATTACTTGATTAACCCAAGATATTTTTCTTGCTTTGGAGACTGTTTATATAGTGAACATTTCACCACTGATTATATATTTTTGAGAACCACTTATCTTTACAGCCTTATGGAGATTGTGGGTGTGCTATTCTAGGTGTCTCTCTCCTTTATATGCACCTGGGCAAAAGCTAAGCTCTCAAGGGGACTGTGGCAAATATACCTGCAGTCCCAGCTGCCTGAGCTGTGGGAAATGGGTGCTTGTGATTTCTGGGAGAGCATTTCCTCCCCAAACTCTGGGGAACAGCCAGACCAGGGGCCTTGGTGCTGGCTGAAAACCCCAGCCTCGTTTGATCAACATTGCATAGTTTGCAGCAATGAACTCTGAACACAAGAACGTCCGGGCAGCTGTGGAGTCCTTGATGAGAGAGGAAACAGGAAAATGGGATGGCAGCTGGTGTGGACAGCTGGGCATGGCTGCCATCTCCTGGTGCACGGGGTCTGCCACCCTGCAGAGGGTGCTGCCTTGAAGGGATGCTGACCCATGCTGCAAACAGCTCCCAAACCTGTCTCTGAACAGCCCCACAGCTTGTCCACAGAAGAGCAGGACACTGACATCATTCCCTCAGCTGCACACAGCAGTCCTCCAGGTCAGTACACGGTGTCCTTGGAGTTTGCAGTAATGAGAAACAGATTACCATTGAACAATGCAAAGGCACACTCCAGACCCTTGCAAACACAAGCATGGCTTCTCCCTCCTTTTCTCCTCCTCTGCTGCGTGCTCGTACTTCGAAATCAGGATAGAAAGGGGTTTCAGGGTCATGGGATCTCCCTTGCTACTTGTCCCTTCAAGGGGTTTTCAGTCTACATGTATTTGTGTCCAGCATTGTCTTTGAGTACGTTTTTCTACTCTCACTGATGCTGACCCTTTAGCGTTCCTAGGAGCAGAAATGTCATTATTTCTTCACATATGTATTAAATATTCACAGTGATGGAAGTCAGATTTGGTTCGCAGAGGAAAGATGAAGGGATTTGGCAGAGAAGAGACCCTGATTCAGACAACATGAGCAATGAGGAGCAGAGCCCCTGCTGGGCAAGGAGAAAGTGGGTTGCTGCAAGGGCAGAGGTCATAGCAGATGGGGAGGCACCAAAGTGTAGCAAGGATTCTGGAGGTTGCCTTTGGCTTTTAAACATCTCATACACTTTGTCTTAGGCAGGTTTCCCCTCAGGCTTCCAAACCCACATCAGATATGGCTAAAACTCGGCTGCTGTTGCTGCTGTTGCACCCCAGTTCCAGCGCAGGGAGGGTGTTGATGTCTCCCCACTATAATCCTGTCATTAATGCACACTTAAGAACTATCCCACTCTACAAGGTGGCACAATGTTTTCACCAGTCCAGAGGGCCAGGAGAAGATGAGAGCAGACCAGCTGCCTTCTGTGGTTGCCTTTAAAGGCTACCAGTGTGGTAGATCCACCTCTAGGCTTCACATGCCAGTAGGGGCACAGCAGAGATACAGCAGATTGCAAATTCACTCTGGCAGATAAAACTAGTATGAAAAATTTCACTGGGCTGACTTGGAACTGGCAAGCTTCCAAACAGACCAGGGGAAGTTTGTCCTCCTGCCTTCAGTGGAAAGGGCTGAGCCCTGGGCATGAATGGTTATGGACCCTGCTGTACTAAGCTGCATGTTGATCAAGTGATTTGATTGCTCCCTAAGTAAACAAGGAGCAAACACCATAATGTCCAAAAAGAGAGCATGTGACATCCAATATGAGGCCCTGGACAGGGGGAAGAACAGTTTAGCTGTGCTATACATTGTTTGGAGTTGTCTTATTTGTCTAACATAGGAGACACTCCCCAGCCAGCTGTGCTCAGCCTTAGATACACTCCCACACTGTGGGGACTGGAGCTGCTTCCTCAGCCTGCAGCTTTTCTGGCTGTCTCAATAGTCTGCTAAACATCTGGAGATTTTTGCATGGACAGAGGATGCTACAAGCATAAATAAACTGGAAGAGATGGGCACAGTTCCCACCAGCCCCTGCCTTGTTCTTCAAGTTATCTTTTGTGCATGTTGCAGATCCCAGCACCAGCACATTCCCCAGTGGCATCACACAGTAGGCCTCCTGCTTGAAGAGGCTGGAATCATGACACATGGAGCTCCCCACAAGATTCATTCAGATGATCTACATTTTTTGCTGCTCAAATTCAAAACTACTGCAAGACCCAACACACCTGTAGCTTCTTTTTGCCTTCTTCCAGTAGAGAGAGCTTAGAGCTTTCAAAATCTCCTATTTCACCATTCCACTCTGTGTTTCCAGCTGGAAAAGCAGAGACTTTTTACTTTGTTTCTCCACTTTGCAATGAACACCCATGTCTCCAGTGTGTGGCATTACAAGGGAAGGATGTCTACCAAGGAGCGGAACAAGAAAAGCAAAGTTTCCACAATGTTGACATCTTCCCTTTTATTACACTGGTTTTACAGTCATAAATAAAGTTTACACTCATAAAAAAACCTTAAAATGAAGTATTACAACAGTATTGCATAAATACTCTAATAGTATGAAATATATTCTGAAGCATACACACGTAGCTATAAAAGAGATCTTTATAAGAAATTCTGAAAGCAAGAACGCACGGCTGATTACTTTTTTGGAACAGATCAGAGCATGAAATATATTACATGCTGGCCTCTCAAGAGGACCCTTGCAGAATCTGATTGCAGAATCTGCAGACGTGGAAGGCCTGATTGTGGGGCATGGTGTCCATCCCCACTTCCTGATGGCTTCTCATGCGCTCCTTCTGTTCCGTTCAATGCTTAGCAATGCCCAGACAGTGATAAGAGTCTTCTCTGGTGGCAGCAAGAAAGTTAGCAAGGCTGCAGAAGAAAAGACTGCCAGCAACTGGCTTTTCTGGTCCTGTATTGATGCACAAACTGAGCTTGAAAGCATGGTGGTGAGGCTTGTTAGCATTCAGTTTGCCAGAAATGGAGGAAGATCCTACAGAGGAAGAAAAAAAAATCATTAAAATTTTGATACCAAAAGCTTAAGCTATCTCTTCACCATGATAGAGAATTTGACAATAAAGCATCTGCTCCAGGATATCACTCTGATCCTCCTTCAATATGTTAAATAATCTCCCTCAAGATACCTTTTTCCAGACAACAGGGCAGCACCTCATAATTTACTGTGCCATGTACGCCACTCCTAGAAATACAGACCATTTACAAACAGAAACATTTAAAATGTGGCGACTTGCATAGCTGAATGCAGGGGAAGTGGAGCTGGATCCTGTGGAAAGGCAAACTTTTTGGGGTGTTAGAAAGGCCCCCCCAGAGGTTTCTAGTCGCACACAATGTTTGCAGCATGGCTAACTCCAAGGCTGGACCTGGCAGCTCAGAGGGAAGTTCTCAGTGTCTCCAGGAATCGAGGTGACAGCCTCTCCATGTTCCAGCACAGCACCATTGTCAGGAGAGACGTTTTCTTTCCATCCTGCTGGAATTTCTCTCACTGCAGCTTGTGTGTGTCACCTTGTTTTCTCTCTGTGCATCACTGAGGACAGTTTGGCTACGTCTTTACTGCCTTTATGTAGTGGAAAACAGCAGGTTTGCACTAAGCTCCCACTTAGCCACCTTCTCTATAGGTCAAGGAAAGCCTGTTCACTCAGCCTCTCCTCGTAGGGCAAGTGCCCCCATCCCCTGCCCTTTGCAGTGGGACTCCACCAAATCCCCTCTGGTTCCTCAGTGTTTTTCTTCTGCCAGCGAGGCCAGGGCTTGCTGCAACCGTGAGCGTTTCTCTGGAGCACATGCCTGGAACTCACTCACCTCATTACACCTCTGCATGATTAGTAAAACGGGGCAGGATGTTCAAAGGGGCTGAGCACACAGACATTCCCATTCCTTCTGTGGAGGGTTGGTGGTTAGAACTACTGATGATGGGCCCTGTGCACAATCATTTGAGGGGTGGCTTGCGTTTAGCTAAGACAGGAGGGCAGTTCAGCAAGTGCCTGACTTCCAGCAGGCTTCCCAGCCGGCAGGACTCTGCAGAAATCACCAAGGTTGCCTTGCTGGGACAGGCAATTTGTTGGCTGGCTCTTTAAACCAAGGCCTGAAGGGCAGATTGCCCTTGTACCGCTGTAGGGGCCCGTGCTGAGTCAGCAGCAGTTTGTCAGCACTGAGGAGCACTGAGCAGCCAGCTCTGCTCAGCTCCCGGCAGGCATCGCACCGTGCCCCGATCGTGCGTAAGCTGCTAAATTATTTAATCATCTCAGGCATTAGGAGACTCAGAAAGGCTGAAAGCCAAGGGGAAAACATCTCCTAAACCATTACATTGCATAAAGCACTTTGTTAGATCAGCTGATTGACTGGACATTGCTACTGACTGTGTATCCTGTCACCTGAACGTCTTACTCAGGCAAGAAATGGAAAGGTCAGGTCTTGAGGTACTGAAAGCCCTGTGTAATGTTGGGGGTGGATGGAACTGAAATGAGGTGAATGTGCACCTTTTCCTCAGCCAGAAATAAAACAAGGCAATCCTACAAATGGGTTAGGTTTGTGTCTGTGACTCTAAGTCCCTGCCAGCAGTTTTGTGCATCCCTTCCTCTGCCTCCTGCCATCCATTCTGCACAGAGGGACCAGTTCAAGCAAGAGCTTGCTTGCCCCACAAAGGGTGGCTGAGCCCCACAGTTTACTCCAGTCCTGGTCTGCTCTCCTGTTCAGTAGACCACTTCCTCTTTCTGAGTAGGATATCAGGCTGTACAAATAACTTCTGCAGTTGTATGGATTGCAAGAAAAATGGAAAGCAGATCTTGGTCCTATTGTACTCTAATAAGTAAACTCTTATCCTGAAGGTAAATCCACCCATCTGGGCTTTTGAACTTGCTCAGAACTTAACTGAAATCCATGGCCCTGTCCTGAGGCAAAAAGAGAATACTTGAATAATGATTACAGAGCTGAAGGAGTTTCTGGGGTCAAATAGCTCGGGTAAGCTGCAAGCTAATGAACTGGTAGTTGATTCATGCAAAAGGTTGAAATAATGTACCCTTTTTTTAGTTAAAATCTGAGAGTAGCGCTCAATCTCTTCTCTTCTCTGCTCCGGGACAAAAAGGCACAATGTTGCAGCATAGTCCTCTGGCAATCTCTTGCCTGCTTTGCTCTCTGTTTATGAAGCTTCAAGCCTATGCTTATTTTTCCTACTATAATTTCTGTTAACACCATTGAGGGGATCATCCAAATCTCCTTTTCCTTGGATTTTTTTTTTTTGCATTTATTTTTGCTCCTGGTGTTTTTTTCAGGTGTCTACTTACCAAAAAGATATGTAAGAGTTCTATGCTATTCAAAATGAAGTATAAAGTGACGTTCTGGGGCCAATAATCATCTTGTCCAGGTTGGTGTGCAACAAAATTTCTCCAGCAGTACCTGTAATCTAAGAAGAGAGATACCCAGTCACTCCTGATGAAAGGATGCCCAGTTCTTTCTTCATTAACATGTCAGTGAGTCATTTGTTTCTCAGTAAGAATACAGTAAAGGACAAAGATATTCATACAAAGTGTGCACAAATAACTACACAAATAAGTTAGTGGAAAGGGGAACCAAAACTCTGCAGAGTAGCAATATGTCTAAAAATGAATTGCCAGAGAGAGAAATTGATCATTGTGGTGGCTTGGGTAACCCTTATCACAAATAGCATGCTCTGGCATAAAGCCAAGAGAGAAGGAATCAGCAAGTGGCAGGAGTGAAAAGGGAAGTGGGACAGGCAGTCAGAGCTGGTCAGGCTCTCCTTTTGGCAGCCTTGTGCTTGAGAACACAGCTTTGGTAAGACAAGTTGCTTCAATCATGAATCTGTCTGACTTATCCAAATGATAAGGGAAAAGCTGGAGTGAACACACTAACATTTAGCAGTTTCATATTGATCTTAGCATTGATAGGATGGCCAGAGCTTCTGACAATGCTCTGGTGCTATAATCCCAGGGACAGCACCCCCAATATTAAGTAAATGTCCTTTAAGATTACATTTGATCCAGTGGGTTTCATAACTCCACACTCCAGTGGTAAATATCCACACAGGTGTGTGAGATTCGTCTCTTCAAATATACATTCCTTTTTGTGAGCTGCTTGTCTGGATTGTTCTTACAGCCAAACATTACCAGGCAAGCAAGATACACACAACAAAAAGGCAAGACACATCTTCTGTGATGCATCATCTGAAAGTGTCCTTTCGACAACTTTCCTACTCTTCTCTCGCTACCAAGGGAAATCAATTACTTGATGCAGCTGGCAAGCTGATCTGCATGTGTATTCTAGAAGGGACAGGATTTTACACTGCCTATAAAGGAGGTGTGCATAGCTAGAGAAACCTCCAGCCCTTCATCTTGGATTTGGCAAGAGGAAATGACCATGCTGGTCCTGCTGCTGTACCGGAGAAGACTGGGGAAGAAATAAGGCAGAAGAGAGTGACATTTTTGCACTCACTAATCCTCCCTGTAATATGCAATGTGAAATAATCCATGCTTAGGGGGAAAATGTATAAAACCAAAATTGTAAAATAAATTAAACATCCAACGAGCCTCTGACCACGGACAGCCCAGAGACAGATTACCACACTGAAGTTGCGACACTCCTGGTGGCAGCAGGAAAGAATGCCTCGTTAACAAGTAAAAAGATGTGGCTAGTGCGGAGATGGGCTTCTCCTGGAACCACACGGGAACACCCAAGGATCATCAGCACTTGATAAATGTCATCAATCAAGATAACAGAAGTCATCAAGAACATACATCTGAATATCCAACTTCTCCAGACATGATCAGCACCTGACACCACCCAAGAAACAGCGATTGTCCAACCCTGCACAGTGAAAGAAACTTCATACATATGCGGGGTGACAAAAGAATCGGGGCACCTCTCCCTCAGGCACAAAAAACTGTATAAAACAGCCTTGCTGGCGACGGCATTCGTGAACAGAGGAAGGTCTGATGCCATAGAGGTCGGATCTCGGTTCACCCAGAGCTGATCCCGGGCCCGACACTGACTCTTTGGCTGTGGCTTTCGAGGACCATGTTTTCAGTCATGAAAATAAAATGCTTTGCAGTAATTAATTCGGCTTTCTCCTTGATCATTTATAACACTCCCCAAAGCCAGCCATCACCTCTGTTACAAACCAAGAGTGCACATAATCCCAGAACTTTCAATCCACACTTAGACAGAGTGTCTGGGTTACCTTCAAGATTCATGATACGTATAGCGACTCCATTCATCATCAGGCTGCGGAGGCCTCGTCGGTTCCGGATATCGAGGTGCCTGAACAGCTTGGCTGCACAAATTACCAAGGTCACGTTAGGGTGTGACCTCAGGAACTTCAGAATCCTTCTGCAGCAGTTTCCACAGGGACTAGCTGAAAGGAACCAGGTGATGCAGCAAGGAGTTTGTGGCTGGTTATTGAAATGATTTTCCAGGAAGTTGACTTCAGCATGTTGTTCAGGATTGTTTGAGCACCAGTTCCTCCAGATGGAACTGCTTCTCCACCTGATTTCATACAGCAGGTACACCCTTCCATTTTGTCTAGGTGAATAATTTCTTTGGAAGTCTTCTGGCTGCATCTTCCACCTGAAGAAGAGTACCAGCAGTACTGTGATCCCAGCACTTCAATGATGTTTGGTCCCATTGTGCATTGCCTACTCTCAATGTCAGCCAGGACTCCCACTCCCAGCTTTTCCCATCAGAAATGAGCAGCTTGAGGAATGTTGCGATTTAGCGATCTAGAGCTGGAATTTGATGAAAGCTTGAGAACACCCCCAGCACCTCCTCAAGAACTGTTAGGTGGGTAAGCAAACTCATCGCCCCTCAGAGATCAGCACCAGTCAAAGCAGTAAGGCAACTGGAAAAGGAAGATTGAGGAAAGCGATAGTAAGAATAAAACAAGGCAAAAGGGTGTCTCTGGAAATTGCCAAGTGGCTCAGGCAGCAGTGAGTGGCAGAGCTACATCTCTTACCCTTGGTTGTTCTCTCTGGATGAGGGACCTGTGTAGAAAAGATTTGTGAATCACTGAGGAGAGCAGGTCAGAAAATAAAATTGCCTCTGCCCTTTCTGTCCAGACACCTTTCAGTTCTATACACACCCTCTCAAATCTCTTTTCTCTAAAAGGGGTCAATAAGTAATCACAGCACAGCAGGATAGGCACTCTGGGATGCAGGAGGTGTGGACTCCTACCTGGAAGTTGAACTTGATGGTTGTTTAAACCATTTTGCACACAAATCCTTGTTCAGTTTAGCACATTATGGTTGATTGTGTAAATACTCAAGTTTAAATTCCCTGATTTCAGCTGTACTGAATCTGTTTTTCCCGGACTAATCAAAGAGCAGAATCAAATGTCTTATCCCTTTAAATTTTCCAAACCACTTCTATGAGAACAGGCAAAGCTTGAGCCATTTTCTCATTGGTACTCATAATCTTGGCAATCCAGGCAAAAACATTTCCACAACCGACTTCCCATCTTTACTTAATCTGTAAGTTTCTAAAAAACTAAAAACAAAAAAATAATCAGTGCCAAGGAAAAAAATACCTGTACAGAAAGGAGAGTAACAAATACGTACAGGGTGGCAACACAGCCCTGCCTGATTATACACATTTTATCTTCCATAGTGGCAAGCAGCTTTGGCCCCATGACTTATTCATCCCTTCCCAGCTAAGGGTGTAGAGGAAAACAGTTGCAGGTGATCAAGGCTACTTATTTATTTTGTAAAAATCCACCAACAGGAAACTTAAGGATCTAGGAACTGTCATTTTATTTGATAAAATATTCTTTTTTAATTTTAAGTATATATAAAAGAAAAATAATTAATTTTATTTTTCTTTTTTGTTTTTATGAATTATGCATAATATAATAAAGATTTCTTTTAAAATATCCTTAGAATTAAGATACTAAAGGCATTTTTCTGCAGCTTAGCTCTTGAAGATGAGAAATTCTGACTTATACAGAGTAAAATTACATTTTAACATGAAGAAACTAGTTTTCCACATCAACAGAGATGTGATCAACTACTAGCACAGCCTTATTGCCCTATTTCTTTAAGAAGAATATTCTAGTCATTTATCACAATGAAAATAAAATAGATTAATACATCAGCTAACTAAATTGCTCCATTCTTAAATGCCTTTGAGATCTCTTTTCTCAGTAAAAGTTCTTTTGGATTTTGAATTCTTGTCATACCAAGGTTAAAAAATTATGTTAATAGTTTGAAGCTGGCCCCAAGACTCAAGATACAGTAATGTATTCAAAGATATAAAACACAAATCCACATCTGTCTCCTATGTATCCTCGTGTCAACAATACACATTTGTCTCTACACTCCAGTTCTTTAGATACAACTACCGTAAATTTCTTGATTATCGAGAAATAGACTTGCCTTTCACATAAATGTACTTACCTCTGGCACTGACAGCAGCCATGGGTATTTCTGGATTTGTGTATTGCTTCCTGGGAGACCGGTGTGCATTTATAAGTCTTACATTAGTTTCAGTTTCTATTCCTGAATCATAATACTGATCTTTGGGCCCTATTAATGCTGCTGATTAGCTGAGCATTTCCTTATGGTGACTTTCTTCACATTTGTACTATCCAGCTGGCTGAAGCTGAAAGCAAGCCCTTGGCAGCAAAGAACTACAAATGGGGGTGATCCCACTCAGAAACTGATCGGGCCTTGAGTACAAGATTTCCTTCCAGGTACCTAACAGGTGAGCCACTTTTTGAAGTGCAGACAGAAATTACATTTCCTTTTAAACTCTGGCTCCAGAACAGGAGAGCAAATCTTCTCTAGTCACCCCAATGTGATGAGAGAGAAAAACATCTACACAAATGGCACCAAGCCACACAGCTGTGGCATGGCACGTCACTTTTCTGACACCCAGATGCCACGAGGAAGTTGAGCAGAGGCCAGTGGGAAGAGCAAACAGAAGATATCGTGTGCAGAACCCGCGAGCCTGTGGAGCTGCAGCGGGTGTGGTGGCCACTGCCATTTCCCTTGGTGGGACTTCTCCCGTGGAGCTCCAAGCACTGCTGACACCCCCTTGAGCCTGAGTCCTCACAGAATCAAGCAGACACTCCATGTGTGTGACCTCTGAGCTGTGGTCAGTGACTGGGCAGCCACTCTCAGGCTGACTCTAAGCAAGCTTCCCACCAGCCAGGAGAGTTTGGAAGTGGACACCGTGTTGTGAGGGAACATCCAGATATTTTTGAAATATCTCAGCTGAGAAGATCTCTGTACTCATGCGGACACTGATCATGACATCAGTTCACTGATGCAAATAGAGCAGGTATCTTCCAGTGCCCCGAGAAATCTGCTCAGCATTATTAACTGGGCACCACCTCACTGTGATCACCTTACTGTGATTCTGTAAGTCTCACAAGATGCAGCAAAAAAATATTTCCCATTTAACCTGAAAAATTACTGAAACGATGCTGGTTTCTAGTGAGAAGCTTTCCTCTGACACACCCAAAACTAGCTTGCAGAGGAAAGGGATTACAAAAGAATGCCTTAGGTAGTGTCAGTCTCTGTCACTCACATTTTTTTCTGGTTTTGTGACAAAATTATTTTTGGCCTGATGCACAATGTAGAGATTGCCTTCCTTGGTGCCAAGCCGGATGTGGGATTTTAAAGCTAAGGGAGTGATTTATTTGTATTCTCTGCAGCAAGCTCTCAGTATTCTGTTGTTAAAAAGTGTTCAGTTTTGCACCAGGGCAGAGAACAACCTGGAAGTGTGCACGAATGGTGAAGTTCAGAGGGAGTGGGGATTCAGGCACTGGCAGGACTCTGTCAAGGAGAAGAGTGGTGGTGGCAGGCATCAGGCAGTGCCAACACTGACTCTGCCCTCGGGGCCTCTTCTGCTCCAAGGTCACTCCTCCCTTGTCAGCACAGAGCTGTTCCCTGGTGGTTGCACTATTTCCTGCCACAGAAGAGTGAAGGGGAGCAAGTCAAACACTCAAGGGATTGTTGAAACAAAACCATGATTGGCTAATATGGTTTTGAGTTCATGGGTGTGATCCTCGTTGAGAGAGGAATACTTGGTGCTGCAGAACTCCCTTCACTGCCCTGTCCTTACAGTACATATTTACAAATAAGCAGGGGTGAATTAGGCTTAGAGATGATTAGTCTGATCTGCAAGGACTGGCTTGATTGGCAGCGGTGATTCCTGAAAGAAAACCAGCAATGTGCCACAGAAAGCGGAGAAGGAAAAATATCCAAGCAAGGAATCAGCAAACACCACACTTTCAGGTGTTTGCAGGAAGCTGAATGTGCTGTACGAGATGGTGGAAAGACAAAATGAAAAAATTATTGGAAATATTGCTCTGTTAGCCAAATGTGAGAAGACTAATCCCTTCTCAATTTAGTAGTTGCTTTAGCCCAAATAAAATCAGGGAGACGAGGCTGCCACACGAGTGAATTTTCATACTTCTAGAAGAACTTGCACATTCTGTTTGTGAGGACTAGGCTTCAGTGAGTCAACAGGAGGATGAAGACCTTCATAAGGATCATACAACTAGGTGGGACACCTGTTCTTTGATTTTTATGAGCAACCAGCAGCGATCCAGCATCCCTTCAAATTGCTACGTGCCTGTAGCAAGGGTTATCTATATAGGTGGAGTCTTGTATTACTCAAACAACTGTGATAAAAATTTTTATTCTAATTCTCATGCAGTCAATTATGTCCCCTTACAGAAACTGCTTAAGGTAACGTAAGAGAAGAATGCAGAAGTAGTTTGTGATGCTGAGCTATTGGTAACATCTGAATATATCTCAATCACTCCAGGAAAAGGATTTTTTTTTTTTTTTAAATAACCACCACTCTCATTTGTATGCCCTGTGAACCTGAATGCATTTTGGAGGAACATACACAGCAAAGGGTACATAGAATGGTGGACAGACACTTACTCATGCCTCCTTTAAACACCAGGTTCCTCAGACCTTCATGAGAATATTCCCTTTGGTGGTAGTAGAGACATGCTGTATAAATATGATGAGATTCAACAGGGAAAATAACCTAAAAGCATCACAGTTTCTTCAGAACATTTTACAAAGGGCCTCCAGGATGCACACTGGGTGACAGAGAGGAGGACAGAGTATCAGAGAGTTAGGTTCCTTCAGATGTCTCCCAGGAAAGAGATTGCAGCAAAACAAGTCTGCAGCATGACTATTACACTCCCTTTTCTCAAGCATCTTTTAGCTATCTGACACTCAAAACCCAAGATGTGCATCTGATAACAAATTTGGGCTGAGACAGAGTCCTAGAAATGGAAACATATGGAAGAAATTTAGGAAGATGGACAGGTTAGAGGAGAGAGAGGAGCACAGAAGGAAAGTTAAATCAGACATCAAAGAAGACAAAAAGGGACAAGGCTTGAGTCAGCTAAAATCCTAATTTGCAAATCTCTGTGGATTTTACAGGTGCCTATTCTCTAGCTGGATGATCTATTGGAAAGAGGTGAGAAACACCAAGTGGAAGTCTGGAAGCAAAGAGAAAGGTTAAATTTAAATGTGACAAAATCCTGGGGTTTATACCACAGAGGCTTAGGTCTCAGCCTCCACTAACAGGCTGCCTCCTGGACTTAATTTGAAATGGTAAATCCTGTGTTAGTTCAGGTGTTCTGCTGCTGACACGTTTGACAGTAAAAAGAAAATCCACTGTGTGTTTACTTGGATTTAATGGAGTTTTCTCAGTGGGTATCTATATTTTTTTATGGAAAGAAAAACCACACAGAGCCTTTTGAGATTTATTCTGTGGCCTCCACATTTAAAGAAGGCTAAAATGTGTTTATGTATGAACCTATGAGCTCACACTCATGAAGATACTTACAGATATTTACAGATATGTGTATGCACAATAATGCAATAATGCATATAAAAACAAGCTTGTAGATACACAAATACACCTCCTTGGCAGCATATTACTTTGCAACTCTGATAAGCACACCCACCCATGACTCTTTTATCTCTCCCAGTACCTTTGCTTTCGTTTCTTCTGCAGCCTGCACAGTCACCACACTTTGCTGAGACTCTTGCTCAGCCTCCATGTACGGAAACCGAAACATAAGAGATCAAGATAACTGGTGGCACCCTGCCACTGCTGGGTGAGATTTATGAGGCTGACTCTGATCAGTGAGGTGGCATGGCAGCCAGCCACCAGGATGTGCAGGCAGACCTCTGATGCAGGCAAAGTGAAAAATAATTGGCTGGCGGCAAGGGCTTATCTGCATGCTCACTTGGGTAACAAAACATCCTGATATCCTTGTAATGCAATTCTTTCACAGCTGGTGAGGTTGTAGAAATTTCCCAGCTCATTAGGAGGAGTCAGTGTGAAAAGAAAAAGCTGCAAGTATCTTGTTTTACTTAACTATTTTGGAAAGCTTTTCTACTCTAAGCAGTCCTTCTACAGTCTTCTCACACTACTTTGTGTCACAGCAGTTCTATATATTTATCTTTATTTTGCTTCCTTTGTGTCTTTGTTTCAAGGCACGCACTGTCAAAGCACGAAGCAGAACAAGTACCCCAGACCCTGTGGGGATTAGTGCCCATGCCCTGCTTGAGAGCCTGAGTCAGCCACCACACAACCACCAGAGTTTTAAATATGAGGGGGACTACATAACCAGGTGGATTTCACTTGAGAGAAGCAATGATTTTCTATGGCTTGTACCAAGGAGAGTGTTCAGAGCAGCTCTAGGAACTTGCAGCTCTGAGATTTTCTTTTCCAAGCACTCAGGGATAGCTCAAGGACAACAATATATGGTTAAACTCTCTCCAAAATTCACCTGGAAAGTGTAGCTGTCATGGGAGGCAAAACCTCCATCAAAAGCAGAAAATATCTACCAGGACCAGGCATTGCAACCATTAGGCACCATCAAGGATGGAGTTAATTTTCTTCATTCCTGACCAAATCAGTTCCTGGGCAGTGTGTCAGTGGAAGCTGCAAGTGAGGGCGGTCAAGATAACCATAATAATTGTTTTGTTCTTTTTTTATTGTGAAAACAACTTGGGGTTCTTTGCTCGTGGTCACAGGCTTGCTTTGAGCAAAACCTGGTTGTGATGTGAATGGGCTGAGCCTGGCAAGACAAAGCCAACAGGACAGTGTAAACAAGGACTAAGGAAAAGGAGCCTTGGCACAGACAGGGCATCAACAACCACCCCCAAAGCTGCTGGGAAGATTACACTCTGATACCCTTTGTTTGGCAGCCTGTGCCAGCAGATTGGAGACTGCAAGGGAAACACTTGGTCCACTTTATACATTTTGTTCAGCAGTTTCACATCATCTGTGTTTCTCTTTCCCAGCCCCCCATAGCAACTTGTGTGATCAGTTTTCCCTGCCTCTTTAAAAACATCTTAAAAGCACAAGGAGTTTCCAGTGGATATATCTAGTGGCCCACTTCCAGGATGGACTTGCAAATAAAAATAATTACTTCTTTTAGCTATCT